CCAGCCATCACCCCTGGTTTTCTGTTTTGACTCTGTCTTTTTTCTTTAAAAAGATATGGATCTTTTGACTGTATGCCTATGTATGTACCACATGCATGCCTGTTGGATCTCCTGGAACTCAAATTATGAATAGTTATGAGCCACAATGCCAGTGCTGGGAATCAAACCCTACTCTGCTGGAATAGCAGCAAGTGCTTTTCACTGCTGAGCCACCTCACAAGCCCACTCTCTCCTTTTCCTATTTCATGTATTTTTGTCCTATGTACATATTTCCTAGTCAGGGTTTCTATTGCTATGAAGAGACACCATGACCACAGCAACTCTTATAAAGACAACATTTAATTGGGGCTGGCTTACAGTTTCAGAGGTTTAGTCCATTACTGTCATGGCAGGAAGCATGGCAGTGTGCAGGCAGACATGGTGCTGGAGGAGGTTCAAAAAGAGATCTTGATATTCAGGTAGCAGGAAGAGACTGTGAGCCACTAGGCCTGGTTTGAGACCTCAAAGCCCATAAAGCCCATTCCCAAGCGACACACTTTCTCCAGCAAGACCACACCTACTCCAACAAGGCCACACCTCCTAATAGTGCCACTCATTATGTACTTGGGGGGGGGGCGTTTTCTTTCAAACCACCATAACATCCAATAGATCTTCCAAGTCCTCTCAATTTTACTTTTAAAATATTGTTCTGGGTTTTTTGTTTTGTTTTGTTTTGCCTTTAGACAGGGAGGTTCTAGGCTGGCCTGCAATGCATAGTGAGGTCCTTAACAATAAGGTACAAATTGAAGTATTTTTGTGGTTTCTAAGGTGTCTTATTTACTGTTCAAATTTACAATTAACCCTATCTGCTTCCTGTCAATCATCCCATCAGCAAAGCAGAATAATTATACTTGAGACGTACCATGGAACTAAGGAAACTCTTGAAATCACACTGCTTACCCACACTTCTTTATTTAAGAAAGTATTTTCCAAAGCAATGTGCCTGTTACCATTCTTTTAATTTTTTAAAATTACAATTATTTATCATATGGGTATGTGTGGGGGAACATGCATGCCACCTCATGCATGTGGAGGTCAGAGGACAACTTTGGGAGTCAGTTCTCTCTGCCATGTGAGACCCAGGATCAAACTCTGGTCATCTGGCTTGGAGGCAAGCACTTTTACCTGCGGAGCTGTCTCACTAGTCCCGAGTAGTGCTTCTTAATGTGGTCTTCCCCAGGGCCAGAGAAATGGCCCAGGCTGCAGACAACAGCATGGGGGGCATGGCAATATTGGGGAAGTTTCTTAAATAGGATCCCTTTTCTCAACAAGGAAACTCATTTGAGTGACAAAAAAAGGTTGAGGGGAGACCCACCTAACCATGACATTAGAGTTGATGCTAATTTGCTTTCTGTTGAATATTTAACATGCTATTTGCATAGCTGTCTTAGCAAAATCAATCCCCATGTTTTATTATTTGAGGATTAAAAAAAAAAGTTTGCCTCCTAGGAGCCAAAAGTCGAGTCAGCCCTGTAGATTAGAATCAATTCAGCAGATGGAAAATAAAGCTTTGAAACATATTCTGCCTTCTCCGAGCACGTCGCAGGCATTAGTGATAATGGGAGCCCTGCCTGTGCATGGAGGGGCTGCATCTGCCAGATTCCCAACCAGCCCCAACCAACCCCTCCTCGGGTTATGCAGCCCTGTGACCTTCATGGTGGAGGAGAGTGGAACCTGGCTCCAGCATCTCCTCACCTTGGGCTGGAATGCATAGGACAAACACAGGCACACAAAGTGTTCTTTCCCTTGGATTGCTGAAACACAGCCAGCTCAGGCATGAATGGAAACTGACTGTTTGTCCTTTGGAGCACTGTGCCATCTAGTGGTCTGGTTTGTTAGAGCTCTCCAAAATTCAGGGAGCACTAGAGAGGGAAAGATGAAATTGAGGGCCAACATTTAGTTTCATTCAATCACTTCCTGTGCCCATCAGTACATTTCAAACAAAGAGATGAATCTGAAAAAATTTGAGACAAGCCATTAGGAATGCCATGACTGCTCTCTCAGTATGGTCAATCCTGTAAGCACCCCTATGCTCAGATATATTTCATCTCTTTGTTTTTGCAGATTTTATTTTTTTCATTATTTGTGCACATGTATGTGCATGCGCGCGCGCGTGTGTGTGTGTGTGTGTGTGTGAGAGAGAGTTGTGTGTATGTCACATGCATGCGGGTTCTAAAAGTGGGCATCAGATACCCTAGAACTGAAGTTAGAGAGTGTCGTGAGCCACTGATGGGTCCTGGGAACTGAACTCCAGTCCTCTCCAAGAGAAGTTCACATTTTTAACCACTGAACCATCTCTCCACGAGGGAGATGCTAGGCACACTGTATAGCACACCCTGATTCCTCTTGCTAAGGGTGACACCTTTGCTGTTTCATTTCTTCAATATAGATGCCAGGTCACATGAGGACTTGTACTTGGCACATCTTGAATGACCATTTATGCTTTCACCTGGCTTGCCCAGAGACCTATCTTCACTGGTGGTCTAGTGCTGTGGCCCCCCCAGCAAACCTTCTCGCAAGCCTCTCTCCTCGCTTCTGTAGATCAAAGTCAGGAGGAATTGTCAGGATCTTTCCTGCCCACGGAGTGTCCCAGAATCCCATTAATGTTGCCTTGAGCACTGGGGTAATTGCAATCATGCTTGCTTTCCAGAAAGTCGCTTGAAAGAGAAGGCAGTGTAAGTGATTCGTAAAGTTCAGTGATTTAGCTGTTCAAAGACTGAAGTGGAGTAGAAGGGCCTTTGAGATTTCAACCCTGAAGGCGTTCCCAGGAGCTGGCCAGAGTGCTGAAGCCAGCCGCCATCGACAACTACCATGTAAGCACACTGGCTGTATAGCTCCGACAAAGCCACCACTTATACCCTATAGGCCAGCAATAGTAGTCCCAGGACAGAGTCAGGGTTAGTCAGAGAGTTCTCAGCAGTGCCAGGCTTAGACTTACGGTGTGAGGCATGTAAACAGCTAGTGGAATTTCAGAGTACATAACATCAGATAGTTCCCAGACCTAGGGGAGCTATATTTAGCTTAAGCAAGTTTGGAAGGAGCTCAGAGGGAGTGTGGAGCCATTCAAACAAACATTAGTAGTACAGGAATTTGGGGGAAAGGCAGAGTTCTTCAGTATCAGGAATTTGGGAAGAAAATCCTGCATTAAGAATCTTGGAATGTGGGGTGTGGAGAACCTGGGAATTCAGAGTTCCAGAGAGGGAAAGAACTCACAAAAGCTCCTACTGAGTTATCTGGGCTCTATTTCAGCAACTGTCCCCTGGAAAATTTATTTCAGATTAAATCTGTCTTTCCTTTCAGTTGTGTGTAATTAATGATTCTCAAAAGTTCCCAGTTTATCTCATGCTTATCTTTCCACTGTTCCCAGAGGAGAAAGAAGAAAGAGGTGCCCAATGGGAAGTGTGCCCTGGTTCTCAGGGAGCGGAGGACCCTGGGCCCACTTCTCCCACTGGACCCCTCTGTTGTCATTGAGGGGGCGGCTGGGTGGCATGGCTCCTTTCTCTAGCCTGAGGACCGGCTTCCCAATTAACATAGACACAACACTTGATTGGAGCTGAAGGAGAAATTTTCTGCTTGGCATGTTTTATGACCCATTATTATCTCCCATACACGCCCCACACCTCTGCGAGGGGAACAGGAGACTGTGTCTGGTGAAAGCATTGGGGAGGACCCCCCACTTTACACAGAGATCAGTCTCATGAGAGAGTCCATTTGAAGCCACCCCCACCCCAAGCTCAAAGGCGGTCGGCACTACTAGGATTCTTCCCAGCTCTGGAACCTTCCTTGGCCTCCATGCACTCATTGCCTGCTTCCCCAGGAAGGCAGTCCTTAGGTTTGGATCTCTGCACTATCCCCTGGAAGCTTTCTCATGGTGGCTGCAGGCAGGAGTAATAGATTGTCACCCATCCTGCTCATTATGTGTGGGACATAATATCTGGAAGTGGGACAGACATTACTTACCAACAATGGTGGGGGGGATAAGGTCAATAACTTCCCCCACTCCTCTCAAACAAAACAATGGCCATGATTTAGTGCTTCCATTGTGTGGGAGAAATCAGAACTATATGTTTGTATAGACACAGCAGCCACCACAATAAAGGAAAAAGGATAATTCATATGTATGTATGTATGTATGTATGTATGTATGTTCAAAATGACAGGGTTTCAAGGTGGGGTAGGGCGGGGCAGGGGAGAGCCTGCCACCATGGTAATGTCAGAAGCTACTGGTTTCAGAGGATGTATCCCTATTCCCTAGGGAGAGCGGAGGCTGAGAGCAAGGTGACTTAAAGGGCCCCATGAGAAGAGGCCACTGGCAACAGCGACCTCTGAGCATCTCCTTGGTTCTTATCCCTGACACCACTCACAGCCACTTCCAGAGAGAACTGCGAATGTAGCTCCAAGAAAGCCTGCCCCCCAAGGGAAAACAGGACAGTGAGACGGATGGGTGGACAAGGGAATGCCAGCAACCCAGACCACGGAGAAAGCCTCTCTTTTTCACAAGGAGGCAACCCTAGCAGGCACAAGTACAGTCGCTCACCTTTGCCAAGCTCCGTGCTGCTGGCTGAGGTTAGAATAGCAGGTCTCTTGTGCAACCTGCTCCTCTCACAAGCCCCAACCCCACTAATCAACAATTGCCCTTGAGTAGGAGTCCGGGGTTGATTTGCTGTTCTGTCCGAGGGAACCCCAAGGGCCTTGTGGCTTTAACAGGAAGGAGTCCTCCACATTTGAGCAGCAATCGTTCCTTCCTCTCTTCCTGCGCGGTGATTAAATTAGCAGGCTGTTCTCCTTGGAGAACATGTGTCTATGGTCCCAGGAGGCACTGCCCACTTGCCCGTCTGATAGGTTTGGAGAAGGAAAGCAAGGGGCGTGTGTGTGCCCATGTCCCTCCCGTCCCTGTCCCTGTCCCTGGGAGGGTCTCTCCCACCTGGGATGGCCACCTAGGCAGCAGCAAGGACCACAGGAGGGGGCAGCCCTGGGGCTTAGCTGCAGGCAGCCTGGCAGGTGGCAGCGTACACGCTGCTGCCCACTGTGGCCCCACTGCTTACACTGCTGGTGGGACACCTGAGGGGCTTCATGGTGCTGTCCCTCTGGATGTTCAAGTGTTCCAGCCTCCAGCGCTCCCAGCTCTTCCGGAACTCCATCTGGACCTTCCGTGGGAAAAAAGACAGGGAAGCGAAAGCCATCAGGCAAATCAACTGCCCACAAAATGGCCCTGTTATTACATTAGCAGGGAAGGGAAAAAATCCGCTGGATTATATTAAGAGACACGAGTCAAGGTCTTCAGGCGCCTAAATTAATATCCCAATAAAATTGTTTATTGTTGTCTCCTATTTTCTGCCTCTCCTCGGGAGAGAGATGGGCTTGATGACCTAATTAGCCCTTTCCATCTCTAAGTACCATCTCAGCTAAGTACCTTCTACAATCCATCACAGCATTATTGAACAGGAGAGAATGGGAGTGAAGGAGAGATTCAGGGAGGGAGAGAGAACCAGAGAAGATGGGGTCTCTCTCTATAAAGTGCTCTCACAGTGTGGCTTGGACAAGCGGAAGGGGAAGGCATGACTGCCCCTAACCCTGGAGACACCCTTGCAGTCTACACTCCCTCGGGAGCTTTTGCTTTGCTTTGTTCTGGGTCTGAGTTTGTTTGTTTTCTAACAGCATACATCATCTCACTATACATCCCACAGTGGTTTCGAACTCTTCACCCTCCTAGCTCAATCTCCTGAATTACAAGTGTGAACTATCAAGCCCAGATTCCCCTTAAGGTTTTCACTCAGTCCCTGAGCCTCCCAGGGCAGAGAAGGGGTCAAAGAAGCAAGGAGGACTAGACAAGACCCAGGACTTCTTGCCTAGCTTTGAACCTATCCAATCTGAAGAAAGTGAAGGGAGCTTGACAGGACAATCTGCCCAGATGAGCTCAGCCAACCAAAATGCTTGCCATGGGGAAGCAAATTCTCCAAAGGGTAGATGCTGGAGGATCAGATTGCTGGGGCAGAATGTCACACAGAACACTGAGGAGCTCTGAATCCCTCCAGGGCTTGTCATAACGCTGCGGCTCCATCACAGCTCTATGGCTGGAATTCAGGGAGAGCTGCTACAAGCCGCCCAGCACGTCCAGGGGCTGGATCACACTTCAGGGGGTTCTTCTCATTGTCTGCTCTTTCATCCTTGCCACCAGTCTTCCCATGCAGGAGCGTCTACGGACTGTGTTCGTTTCAGACCCAAGCCATCAGGAGGGCCAGCGGCCAGTGGCTGTGTACAATAGGCTCCCTGCCAGTGCCCCTACCTGCCCCTAAGCAAATACCCCTCCTCTAGTCTATCCACGCCATCCATCTTGCTAAGCCCAGCAAGACACCCTGTGTGGTCACATGCCATCCCTTAAAAGAACTTCTGTGCTGAGTAGGGCCAAGACCACCCAGATCCTGGCTGCCATGGAGTCTTGGTGTCCCAGACAGTGTCGTGGAGCACAGGCTTAGAGGGTGAGGGAAGGAGGCCAAGCAGACATTACCTATGGCTTCCTTGCCTGGCTGGGTTTGTATAGTGCTGATAATTGGCATGGAGACATTGAGACTAAAGGGTCTCCTTCTGCATAGCTGCAGAAAAGCAAATCTCTCACAGTCTTCCACTTGGAAGGGAGGGGGGAATGGTAAACTGAGACACACCAAACCAGTAGGACTTAGAGGACATGGTGTCTATGATCCTGTCTTCTTCCGCACTTTTTCTGAGTTTCCATGGTGGCCCCAGCCATCATAGTTGTTCTCAAGAACCACTATCTAGGGGCTGCAGGGCATGGTCCAGTCAGAAAAGGGCCTGCTTCAGAAACCTGAGGTCTTGAGTTCAGATCCCCAGGATCCCCTTAGAAAGCTGGGCAGGGGTAGCTGGAGAGATGTTCCAGCAATTAAAAGCACTGGCTGCTCTTCCAGAGGACCCAGCTCACAACCATCTGTAACTCCATTTCCAGGGGATCCAATGCCTTCCTCTGGCCTCCATGGGCACACAGACTTGTATATAGGTAAAAACATTCATATACACAAAACAATAATAAAATTTAAAAACAAGTTGAGCATGTTGGCTCAGGTCTACAAACCCAGCACTGGATCTGTGTGTGGGCACAGGGTCAGAGTGAGGGGAGGCAGAAGGATCCCTGGGGGCTTTAACCAATTAATGAACTCCAGTTCAGCAAGAGACATTGTCTCAAAAACAAGGTGGAGAGAGTTTGAGGAAGACAATTGGCATAGATGCCTGGTACTGGCCTACACACACACACACACACACACACACACACACACACACACACACACACATCCATTTTGGTTCCCTTCCTTGTTAATCCTGGGAACACACATCAAGGAAAGCAGAAGAAGGAGAGGAGCAGAACATAAATATTTCCCCAGGGCTCAGCCAGGATTAGAACCCAGGTTTGTTTGGACTCCAGTGCCCTCAGCTAGCCGTTGGCTTCCTGCCTGCCCCTGGCTGGTCTCTGGCTGAGTCTCCTCCCCACTTAGCAGAGAGCACTTGATAGGCATGACTACATCTTTCTCCTCTACCCATGCTCCTAGCACTGGGCTCAGCCCACGCAGCAGGCACTCACCGCAGGTTGCTTCAATGAGTCAAATGAATGACCAATCAATGAATGGGCCTCTGACATGAGGCCCTCCCACTGATCAGTTAGAGAAATGAAACAAAGAATGAACCTGGGGCTGGTGAGATGGCTCATTGGGCATTTGCTACCAAACCTGATGACCTGGGTTGGATCGCCTATGTGGGGGAGTGAGAGAGTCAACTCCCCCTAAGTTGTTCTCTGACTTTCACCTGTGCTCTGTGGTACAAACACAGGGCCTGCACCCCTATGAATGCATGATTTGAAAAGTAAATAAATAAATGATCGGCCATGGCATCTGCATTGTCTAATGTTAATCCTCACCCCCACCCACCCTATGAACACTGAAGCCCAGCATCGCATCCCAAGAACCCTCCCTGACTAAGGACCAAGTCAAGCTCTGGGTTTGATAAATCTTCCTTCCCTCCACTGATGCCTGGGTAGAAAGGGGGAAAGACAAGGTGGCTGGCCAAAGGTCACACAGCTTAGTACAAACCCAGCTCAACACTCACGGCTCCTGAACTACTTCACTTCAGCCCTCAGACACAAGCTACAGTAAATCCATCATCAGTCCTCCCCTAACCCCACTCCCCACTGACCAGCAGCTGGTGCAGGCCTTGGCAGCCACATGAGACCAATGTTCAAGCCATCTTCTCAGGTCATAAGTACCTGGCATTGCCATGGCAACCCTGGATCTGGAGAAGAGCTCTTGTGGGCAGAGGCCACAAGAGTGGCTAGGGTACAAGCGTGTTGAATCACTTTGCAATAAATCAGGTGTGTCCAACCTGTCGCCTAAGGGCTGCATGCATATCTATAGTGACAAATGTGGCCCAAATCATTTGTGGGTGACAGTGAATGACATATGGCGAGGTCAAAAGGTTGGACACCCCTGCATGAAATAGTCAATGTTAACCCTTTAGCACAAGGTTGGGTCTTTCCTAAGCTCTTATTAGGTGTGTGTGTGTGTGTGTGTGTGTGTGTGTGTGTGTGTGTGTGTGTGTATTGGGGGCACAGAACAGAATATAAAGGCAAGATATCACCTCAGTTTTTAGCCACAGAGAGGGGACTGGAAGTTTCTATTAGGAAGACTGAAGAGAAACCCCACTGCAGAGCCCCACATCAGCCAATGGCAGCAGTCCCAGCAGGGCCCCTACCATTCCATCTGTAGACCTTACCTCGTTGTTGACAAAGCAGTACAAGATGGCCACCATCAGGCCCTGGAAACAAGAGGCATGTTAGCAGGAAGGTAGGCAAGAGGTACCTGGGTGACTAACCCCTGGCAGCCCTCTGCTCAAATCAGGCAGCCCAGGCTGACTTGGGAATAGACAAGTTTTTGTTTTGTTTTGTTTTATTCTCCAAAATAAATTTATGTATGTATGTGTTTTGTCTGCATGTATGTCTGTACACAACATGCCTGGTGCCCCCAGAGGCCAGAAGAGGATATCAGATCCTCTAGGTCTGGAGTTACAGGTAGTTGTGAACAGCTAGCTGTGAGCCACCATATGGGTGCTGGGAGTCAAACTCAGGTCTTTTGCCTGCACAGCTCTTAACCACTGAGCCATTTCTCCAGTTCTAGACAAGGTTTTTGTTTGTTTGCTTGCTTATTTGTTTGTATTATTTCCTTTCAAGAAACAAGAGGCTCCTTGCTCAGGCACTAAGGAAGTTCCATGGCTACCACTCCTTGAAAAGGCTAGAGCAGGTAAAGTATGAAGAACTCCCCCACCCCAGCCCATTGCTGAACTTAGGTCCCAGTGGCCCACAACAACAGCTAGGCAGCTGCTCTGTGTGTGTGTGTGTGTGTGTGTGTGTGTGTGTGAGAGAGAGAGAGAGAGAGAGAGAGAGAGAGAGAGAGAGAGAGAGAGAGGAAGAGAGAGATTTTAAATGTGCCATGTGTATTTAGGAGCCCTTACAAGCCACAAGAGGATGTCTGGTTCTCTTAGAACTGGGATAACAGGCAGTTGTATAAAACATGGGTGCTAGGAACCAAACCTAAATCCTCTGTAAGAGAAGCAAGTACTCTTAATTTCTCAGTTATCTCTCCAGCCATAATTTCTTACATTTTCACCCTATCATCTAATGCTATCAAAGAGGACCAATTCCTTGCTCTGAACCTGTGTGACCCCTGTATTGTGTGGCTAGTTCTTCTGGATTGAGATATTCCTTTGTGGAAGAAAGGAGGAGGCTCATAAGACCAAGGGAGCTCATGAAACTTACAAGACTCAGGAAGTTCAGAAAGTTACAGGCCCCACCATGGGGTTATATGGGCAGTCAGCAGTTTCTGAAGAAGAAGAGTATGGTGGCTTGAAAGAAAATGTTCCCCAAAGGGAGGGACACTATTAGGAAGTATAGCTTTGTTGGAATAGGTACAGCCTTATTGGAGGAGGTATGTCACTATGGAGGCAGGCTTTGAGGTCTCATATATGCTCAAGCTACACCCAGTGATTCAGACCACTTCCTGTTGCCTGTGAGTCAAGATGCAAGAACTCTCAGCTTCTCCCTAATACCATGTCTGCCTGCATGCTGCCTTGCTTCCTGCCATGATGATAATGGACTAAACCTCTGAAGTGTAAGCCGCCACAATTAAATGTTTTCCTTTATAAGAGTTGTGGTGGTCATGGTGTCTCCTCACAGCAATAGAACAGTGACTAAGAAAAGGCGACTCTCCTCCACGGAGCTGCCTGCAAACTGCAGGGAGCTCCAGGGATGCAGCTTTTGTAAGTCATCACCCCTGCTGGGGTGAGCTTTTCAATGATGCAGCTGCCTTTGAGTTGCCCATGATCTTGTATCCAACCCAATAAGTTCATTGGTTCACTAACTGGATTCGAGTGGAATAATTTCCTTGGTCAGATATGAATGCATATCTTTTCATGTCTTCCTAGGAAAAGTCATACAACACCTTGTAAATTTTGTTTTAACCTCTCCGTGTCTCAGTTTCCAGTTATGTTAAGTAGGGGCAATTTCAGAATGGTAGGTCCTGGGAGAATTGAATGCACTGTGTGTATAAATTGCCTGGCAGGATGCTAGTGGTTGGCAGTGCCTCTCTCTAGATGCCCAGATGCCCAGGTCCACATCTGGGAAGGCTTCTTGTACTATGGACTTACAGAGAAGACTGACTTCTAGGTCCAAATACCTGGGGGGATACTGGCTTTGGCTCTGCTCCCACCATGGGACTTGGGGCCTGGATTGTTCTCCCAGGCCTCATCCTATTCATCCCCTCCCTCACTTCGGGACATACCAGGCAAGTGCCCCCCAGCTGTGAGTCACCTGGAAGGAAGTGAAGGAGAGCTCTGTGAACAGCTTGATGAAGCGTAGGGTCCCTCGGGCATGTTCATCCATCACAAAGGCAAAGATGACCTCATGTGTCCCCAGGAGGGGGATGAGCGTCAGAGTGGACTTGGCAAGTCTGGGGACAGGGTAAGACCGCTTGTGTCATTCAGGCGCTTGTACACAGACTGTTCTTTTCTTTCTGAGCCCGCCCTCTTTCTGCTGTCTGAGTCATGGACAGTGTCCAATGAAAATACCCTGGACAGGCTGTCTTGGTGTGTGTGTGTGTGTGTGTGTGCATGTGTGTCAGTTGGGGGGGTGGCAGAGGTCAATGTAGTAAGATATCCACCTGTTGCACTGACCATGCCCATTGAGGGTGGGGACAGGTGCAGGCGTGACCTGGGGGAACTAGGTCTGGGTTACTGGACTCCAGCACTCTCTCTTGCTTCCTGACTGGAGACAGAGAACATCTGGAGGCATCTTTGGGATGGGAACCTGCTGGCAGTCATCTGTTTCTGGTGTAAGTGATTTTTCCCTGAATAAACATCCATCAGCCTATTTGTTGTCCCAGATTCTTATTTATCCACGATAGGTCAAGACTCCAGAAGCTTAGGGGCTATTAAGAATAGAGAGAAAAATCTTAGGGGTTGCAGACCAGGCTGGGATGGGAAAAGAGGGCTACATGAGGCTCCAAACAGAGTGTTTTAGATTCTCTCTCTGGCTGAAGGAAAGGCAGAAGGCACCCCTGCAGCCACCTTGGTTTGATAAGGTACCTGCATTTGATGTCAGTCTTGCACATGAGATTAGCTTTCAGTTTGGATACCACGATGCAGATGACCCGGATGAAGATAAGAAAATTGACCTGCAGAGCACATGGGCAGGAGGCTAGGACCTTTCACCTTACCCCAGTCATTAGCCTGGTCCCAAGCTAGGTCCACCAGCTTCCACTCCAAGCCCCAACTCTGTCACTCACCCCAATAGCAAAGAGAATGGGCAGTCGGATGATGAGCCAGTAATTCATGTTGGAGTTCCTGGTCCAGCAGCTAGGGAGAAAGAGGCACACAAGGTATCCAACCGGATATTTAGAGGCCCCAGTGGCTAATTCAGGACAAAGGCACAAGTGCATGAGGCCAAGCAAAGTGCTACACCCAACCACAGATTCATGCAGAGTCCTGCAAGGGCATCACATAATCCCACCCCAGAGTCCTCAATACATGGTCACACACTGAGAGATCCATGCCTCTCCCCCATCTTCACGGACCTCTGCAAACAGTCACATGCACACCCAGCATCATACACAAAACAACAGGCGATTCACTCCAGTGTTCATAAAAGCCACCAGGAAGGCACCATGCACTGCAAAGGCCAGCAATATTGATCATCATGCCATCCCAGGGTAGGTTCAGGGAGTAGAAATCAGAGACAGAATTCATATGCTAAACTCCTGCTGACCCCATGAATCCTCCCAAACAAGTAGTAAACTTGTGCTCCAGAGTTCAAGAATCCCATAGATTATAAATAAGAATGAGACCCCACCACACCACTCTCCCACAGCAGAACACTCACCCCTCATCCTCAAAGAGGTATTTGACAACGCCCCAGGGGATAACAAACAGCAGAGGAACACCTAGAGGAGGAGGGAAGGAAAGACAAAGAGGAGAGAGGAGCTGGCAGGATAGAGCTGTTGCCACAGAGCCTGGGTCCTCTTCACACCCTGGACTCCTCACACCTCCAGCCCCTCTGCATTCCTGGCCCTAAAATGGTGGGTGCTCAGTGCTTGTGGGAATGGAGGTGAAGGGTTTCACACTCACACTCCACATTCTTCCTTAGAGTTTTTCATGGTTCAGCCCCTCCTGTGTGCCAGGAGCCCTGCCAGGATTTGTCTCCAGAATCTTGGCTATGAGTCATCTGTGTGACACCAGGAGGTGGTGGAGTCTTCAGCAGATAGAGCCTGTAGGCAGTCCTTCCTAGAGGAGATTTTGGGACCCCAGCCTATCCAATCTCTCACTTATCCTTCCTGGCACGAGGTAGACTCCTTACTCATCCATATGTACCCCACCACTGCAATGTGTCACCCCTCAAGAGGCCCAAAGCAATGGGTCTGCCTGCCTAATCTTTGACTTCAATCTGCAGAATGGTGATCTTTTAAATAACTCTACTTTTTATGATAACAATGTCACAGGTATTTTATTATAGTAATGCAAATACATATAAGCTGATTAATACAGCTTATAGATAGCCATTTAGATTGTTCCCAGTGACTACTATCTCTTGGTATTCATAGTTTTTGTTGTTGCCGTTGAGGCAGGGTCTCAAGTAGCCCAAACTAGCTTCAAACTTGTTATAAAGTCAAAGATACCCTCGAATTCCTGATCTTCCTATATTCAGAAACTTTGGTGCTCTCTCTCTATCTCTCTCTTTCCCTCCCTTCCTCTCCCCTCCCTCCTCCTCCCCTCTCCTTCTTGTTCATCCTGTCTCCATTTAGTTGGGGGAATACAGAGAGAGGGGTTGTCATGCCGAAGTGTTCTCTGACAGCCTACAGAGAGCTCCCTACAGCAAGGAATGGAGGCCTCCTGCCCACAGCTCCATGAGTGAGCTTGGCGATAGATTCCACAGTCAAGCCCTGGATAACAGCAATTCCGACTAACAGATCCAGCTAGATACTCTGAGTCAGGGCTGTGCAGCCATGTTGAACTCAAGACTTTTGAGCACAGAAACTCTTGAGATACTAGTTTGTGGCTCTAAGGAGCAAGTTCAGGGGTCACTGTTAGATAACAATGGAAAAGCAATCTGGGCTGGTTTCTAAGGTCTACACAGTAGACTTCCCGGAGCCTAGTCTGTGCTGGTTAACTGGAAGCTGGGCCGTTTACCCTATCACAGTAGATGAGGAAATGGACAGGAGGGAAGAACATATGTAGAAGCAGATTCTGGGGCTATAAGCCTACATCCACTCCAGCCACCCTTGGAGGCTTTCTGCCTCAATAGTCTCATTACTTGCTTGTACCTGCGCCTTTCTCAAGTTGCTCCCTTGGATGTCTGAAGTAGGTCACCGTGTGCACATTAAGGTGTGTCAACACAGGTTTTGTGGATGTGGTAGAGGGTTCATGCATGTGCATATGTGGCCTTGAGACATCTCTTCCAAGGCAGAACCATTTCATAACCTTTCCAATCACCATCATCAGGGTCCTTAACCCAATGATGTCCACACAGTCACAGCTGCTGAGCAACTTGTATGTCTGATCACCGCACTGGCCCATGATTCAGAGAAGGTTGGGAAAGGAAGGGGAGGGGAGAGGAAGAGAGCAGAGGGCATTGAGCAGTGCACAGCTGGGTAGTATTCATCAGATATCCTCATTGGCCCATTTAGTAATATTTCTATTACTATTGTTTGAAAGTTATTACACTTTGTGTGTGTGTGTGTGTGTGTGTGTGTGTGCATGCTGGGAATTGAACTCAGGTCCTCTGGGAGAACAGTAAGTGTTCTTAACCACTGAGCCATTTCTCCAGCCCCTGGTTCAATATTTAAAGCAGAACTAGACAATAAGAAACGCTAGTAACAGGCCAATAGTTTTATATCTAATACAGTGAGCATCTCTATGTGTTATTTTGGGGCTAACACAGCTCTGAGACCAGGCTGGCGGGGAAACTGCTCATAATGTACGTGTGTGTGTGTGTGTGTGTGTGTGTGTGTCCATTCCTATATTTACTCAAGGTTGTGTTGTAAAAGTGTACATACCTATGCATGTGCAGGCCAGAGGACAACCTCAGATGTCATTCCTAAGGATCTGTTTACCTTGTTTTTTCAGTCAGGATCTCTAACAGGAACCTGTGGTCTGCCAGTTAGGTTAAACTGGTTGGCCAGTCCTGGGCATCTGACTGTTTCTGTCTCCCCAGTACTGGAATTACAAGTATGTACTGCAACTTTTTTATGTGGGTTCTGGGAAATCGAACTCCAGTCCTCAGGATTACTCAGTAGGCACCTTCATCAAGTGAGCTATCTCACCCCACCCTGTTTGCTTTTGCACCAACCAGCCAGCCCAGCATCCATGACCTTTATAAGCAGGTATTCATTGGACTGAACAAATAATGGGATGACCTAGGAGAGTCCTGGGACATAGCATAGACCTTGCCCCACAGAATCTGCCCAGTAGGAATGGAATAAATATTTCAGCAAGAGAAGAGAATCTCTTTAGACAAGACCATGCAATTTCTTAGGCCATACATGCAGAAACTTCAGGTTGCAAGTCCTCTATCAGTTGCTGTTTTTTCTCTCTGAGTCCCCACTCCAGAATGTGTGAGCTTGCTCATATCACCAGCCAACCCCAATGAGCTCTATCCATTCATTGACATCTGGTAAATAAGGCTCTCCCACCCTCCAAGGTGACATACTCCTTGCAGGCTGCAGTTCTCCAAGACGAGCCAGGTGAGAAAGGTCAACCAAATGCACGGGACAGGTCCTGGGTCGTCATGTCTTCCCACCATCACTTATCCTCCCTTCTACTCATGGATGGCAGTACAAGGTGATGTGTCTCTTAGGGGCTTCCCACAATTACATCAGTCTTTTAGGAAGCTAGAAGTTGTCTGCCTATCCCAACTTGAGCTAGGCTTCCTGGCATGGTCACAGAGCATACAGGTCTCTGTGACTCACATTTTTTTCTCTGATCCTGCCTCTCCCCAACCCAGCTCTTCAAAAAAGAAAAAATGATGTTCTGGTTGGGGGAAGATGTCCCTGAAGGTCCTGAGCCTTGAGCCAGAATGAGCAAGAAAGACCTGGTACCCCCCCCCATATCCTACTTAGAGACCCCCAGAATATCATATGTTTCCACTGACCCCTACCAAATCCCTGTTTTTCTGAACACATCCCTTTGATTGGCCCTGCCCTAGGGTTGCTATGGTGACAGATACAAACAGGGCTGATGTTATTTCCCAGAATGGGCAGACGGTATCCATCCCCCCCACACAGAGGAAGCCCTTCCTGAGTTCTCCTCAATGGCCTGTCCCTGCACCCACCCCTAGGGAGCATCAGGATTCTCCAGATGCCCCACCTGATGGAGTTGTCTGCCAGGATAAAGAGGTCTAGGAAGGAAGGAAAGATCTAGTAGGATGGTCTGAGTCTTGGAGGAGGACGAAGAGAAGGACTGTTAGGGATCTCTGTGTGACGAAGCCAGAGACACTTTTATCTGTATAGAGACCTAAGCCCGCTCAGCAGAACCAACAGGGGATGAGGAGAAAGGCAGAAGCCAAGACCTGTTTGGCAAGTAGAGAACAAGGCCTAGAGTCAGGAAGCTAGTTGCCTCTTGTCCCCCAGTGTCTGCTCTGCCTTTAAGGCCTTGTTGCTCTCTGGGTCTTAGGGACCTTAATACTTTGGTTACACTAAACCCCCACTAGAGTTCCTCATCCCTGAGGTAGCTAAGGAGCACCTAAACAAATAAGCAGGGTGTGAGGAGAGGGCAGAGGGGCTGAGAGGACCAGAGAGCAGAGTCCTGGGAGGCTGGAAACCTTAGGCAGCTTCCCGGAAGGTAAGCTGGCAACCTTGCAATGAGGACACAGAGAACACAGTCTGCTTTGACTAAGCTGAGAAGAGTCTGGAAGCCAAGGCTGAGAGGGATGAGAATGGCTCTAGGGACTAACGGTATGGCATGAAGAAAAAAAGTCTGGAACTTCAAGGAGAGATCAGAGAGGGCTGACTATAGGTCTGTCCTCTGTTACATCCCAGGTGGGGGGACTTGTTGGTTCCACAGTGGGAGGTGTCCCCACCTGTCTCCCTGTCACTGCAGGACTCAACCCACCCACCCCCACCCCAACCAAACTTCAATCCTCCCTACCTTCCACGTGACTCCTAGGCACAATGGTTCTCGGTAAACTTTTTTTTGCTAGAACATTTCCAGCCGGGCTCCAGGTACATCCATATCCACAGTCCACCCCTTTTCTTGGCTGCTCTTCCTGACTTGCCTCTCCTTCAAGCCCTTCCCTTCACATCAGCCTGGGAACACCGTGAGGCCCAGGGTGTAGCATCTTCCACAAGACCCCATGTTGCCCTGCATGGGGTATGCAATGCTGTCCCCACAGGACCTTAGGGGAAAAGGTATTTGAGGGACTTCTAATGGTGTGGTGGCAGGGTTACAGTCAGAAGGGGGGTATTTGGTCATTTGAGAGTGGAGGCACTGTTAAGAAAGGAGATGTATTGTTTTTGCGGCAGGTCCCCTTGGAGGTGGTGAGGTGAACGGCAGGCCTTACCCCAGCCTATGCTCAGGTACAGCCTGAAGATGCGCTGCTCCGAGAACACCGAGAAGGCCAGCAGCGTGTACAGGTACACACCCTCCACCAGCAACCAGTAGTAGTTGGCTGCCACGCAGTACTGCATGAGCAGGAACACCAGTCGGCAGCTTAGAGAGTCCTAGGGACAAAGACAGGTCTCATGGGGGCAGCAGCCCTGCCTCCTGTCCCACCCGATGCTCTTGACTGACCCTTCCCGGCCACAATCCCGTGCTTAACATGGGATGAAAGTTTTCACATGGCCAGGACCACTACTGGAGACTGTCTTTGCTTTAGTTCACTGAACAATGCCCCGCCCCCATCCTGAGAAGAAAGCACCTGCCAACACCCCCATGCTGGGAGGAAAGCTGAGCCCTGGAGAGGTTGTGTGATGTGTCTGAAGATATAGACAACCAGTACATGGTAGAGCTGGAATGCAAACTCAGGCCTGTGTTCATCTGAACTTCCTAAGGCACAGTCTCTCTTACCTTGGACTCACTTGCTCCAGGTGGACTGCCTCCTCCATCAGTCTAGGGTTTCCCCAAGGTGGACTGCCTTCTCCATCAGACAAGGGCCTCCCCATCAGACTAGGGGCTCTCCCATCAGACTAGGAGTTTCCCATGGTAGACTGCCTCTCCCATAGCACTAGAAAATCCCCATTATGGACTGACCCTCCCATCATACATGGACCTCCTGAAGCCGAATCTGGGATTCTTCCATTTTTACCCACCCCAGGCTTATGCAATGGACCCCTTCAACAATGTCCTCTCCTCCCCAGGATCCCCAGGCCACACCACACACCTGATAAGAGAGGAGCCCATCCCACTGGTGCTGTTGGGCAGCTGTGCTATACATCCACTTGAGGGCAGCATCTTTGATGAAGACGGACAGCGCTCGGAGGATGAAGGATGCAAACAGGTTCAGGTGGATATAGTTCCGGGTGCAGTGCAAGTGTCTAAGGGAGAAAGCAGGGCCCTTCCCTGGCAAGATGGCCAACACTGGCTCTCCGGCCAGCCCACACATACATCAGGTGTCTGCCTCTGGGACTATGTTGATGCCTTCCTTCCTCTAAGAATGTCTTTCTTCCCCAGAACCTTGAGAGTCACTGAAGTGCTGCCCAAGAGGCCCTCACTGCCTGTTTCCTGCCCACATTCTCTCCATGCTGCCGTGACCTCTCTCATACAGTTACATGTAACCAAAACAATGCATGTGTTGGGATCAGTCTTCGAAATGGAAGCTTTGATCCTCTAGGACAGGACACTTCTGGACTGTTCTCTGGGGCAGAGCGTGTCCAGGCACATGGTAGGAATTCAACAGGAATTAGGTACCATGTCAGTATACTCTCAGATAAAAATGTGTAGTAGGGCTGAAGAGATGCCTCAGTGGGTAAGAATGCTTGCTGTGCAAACATGAGGACCTTAGTTCAGATCCCCAGCACCCATGTGAAAAACCAAGTGTGCACACCTGTAACCTCAGTGCTGGGGTAAGAGTGGGGCACAGAGACCAGAAGATGGCTGGGGATTGCCGGCTGCCAGCCTAGCTCCAGGTTCAGTGAGAGACCCTGTTCTGAAGTGAGTATGGTGAGAGAGACAGAGAGGGACACTTATGTAACCCATGTGCAGAGCATGCAGATGTGAGCACACACACATCTGCACGCATGTGTGTACTCACACACACACACACACACACACACACACACACACACACACACTGTGTGATAAACTAGAAGTCAGAGGGCACTTCATCTGCTATAAGGCTATCTCCCAAGCAAAAGTCAACTCATTCTTAACTGAGGAACTTGGCAACTATTTCCTTTAAAACCAGCAGCCAAGCAAGGATGTGCACCATTGTTGCCTCTAATGACTTCTCTACCGACCCCATAACTACCACAGGGCCACAGAGAAGGTGAACCACAACTGGTTATGGCTTATAGACAAGTATTTTCAGAAACACCCCAAAACAATGTATGGACAAACTTTTAGCAACTAAAGAGTTTGGCAAGATTTCTGATGGCTTCCTCGACACATCCTAGCAATATGCAATAAAAAGAAATTGAAGATCCATTTGTAAGATTCTATTTGATTTCCTGGCAATATCTCTAACAAGAGGATGGGTGAGATCATTAGGGGCAACTTAATAAAATTGGCTTAAAATTATTAGAGAAGTTTACATTAGTGGGAAATACACAGTCGCACCATATTTATAAACAGAAATGCCACTGTCATTGTCCCATGTTAAATAATGAATTCAAAGCAGCTGTAATAAAATGCCAACTTTTTTTCATGGTACTTAAAAATTTTACAAAGAATTGCTCAAGGTCAAGAATGGCTTAGGAGGTCAATAGAACCATCAAGCGGTCTTTTCCTATAATCCCAGCACATGATAGGCTGAAGTAGGGGGGATCAAAAGTTTGAGGCAAGTCTAGGCTACAAAACAAGGCCCAGTTTCAACAAAACAACCCCCATCTGGGCATGATTTGCACACCTGTAATCCCAGCACTTGGAAGGTGGAAGCAAGGGAATTAGGAGTTCAAAGCCAGCCTCGGCTACAATCCAAGTTCAAAGTTAGCCCAGATTCCATGAGACCTTCTCTCAAAACAATCAATACACAAAAGAAATCACAACATAGGAGTCTTTGCTGTAAGAGAACTAGGAGCTGTCTGCGTATATGCATGATGCCTCCACATATATGTCATGAATATGTGTGTGAGTGTGAGTGCACAGGCAGATGTCAGGAGACAACCTCAGGTCCTAACCCTCACCTTCTACCTTGTTTGGAATCTCCCCTCACTACGCCTCACACCAGGCTGGCCGATCCAGGAGCTTCCTTGAATACTCCTGTCTCTGTCTTCTGCGCCATTGCAGGAGGACCAGGCTGAAAACACATGCCACCAACCATATCTGGCTTTCCATGGGTTCTGGGGATGCAAACTAAGGTTCTCATACTTGAGTATCAAATGTCTAACTTACAGAGCCATCTCCACAGTCTGAGAGATAGGGTTTATTTTTATTTCTTCTTTAAAAATTTTATTGTGTTAATTAATTTATCTTATGTATCTATGGTATGTATGTATGTTTTTGGGCCCACGGGTACCAGGAAAATGCGTGTTGCCCAGAGGTCTGGGAAAGAATTTGAAGGAGTCGGTTCTTTTCTTGCACTGTGCGGATGCCAGGGATCAAATTGGTCACCAGGCTTGGCCTTTACTGACTGAGCCAACTTGCTGGCCTGAGACCTTAAACTTCTAATAAATTTTTAGGAGACAAGGCGCTATGGTTTGGGAATAGGGTAGATAAACAGACCGATGGAAAAGGACATAAACAATGGAAACCAACTTACAAATCCAGGGACCCTTGTGGCAAACCAAGACTGTTAGCAAAGGCACGTTCAATATGTGGGGAGGGGGTAAAACCCTGATTTTTTGCCTGACACAAACTTAATCCCAGGTGGACTGAAGAACTGCAAGGCAGAAAAAAGACCCTGTGTAGTGAGATATCCACCCCACCTGCACCTGTCGCACTGACCACTAGGTCTGGGGCCGGGGACCCCAGAGCTCTCTCTTGATTCCTGGCATCCTTGGGACAGGAACCTGCTGGCAGTCATCTGTCTCTGTTGTAAGTTATTTCTCCCCGAATAAACATCTATTCAGCCTGTTTTCCCCAATCCTTATTTTTCCACAATAACCCTGCAACTTCTTGAAGGGGACAGAGCTGGGTGGCTTTGTAACCATCAGATAAGAAAAGGTCACCCAAGGGACAGCAAAGAGAAATCTATGGGGGAAAATTAATAAATGTCTACTAAGTAATAAAAATAACTTTCCTTAATCAATAGTTCCCATTGATACATTTTACTTATGAATAAAAATTGATAGTTGTCCAACTTTATTTCATTTAAATGCAGAATCCTAGAATTTTCACCAGAGTGAAAATAAATGGCATAGATTAAGTATGTCTATGGTTAATATCCAGATAACAAATGCCTAAAACAATCCATGAACATCAAGTAAAATAACAATAATAATAGCAAAAGCAATGAACAAGACTAAAATATGAAGAAAACCTCTCTAGGGGTGAAAGATAAGCAAATTAAATCATAACCAGTTCTTTCACATGCTTTGTAGATTAGCTTCACTTAGTTCTGAAAATGCTGAATATGGGTCGGGTATGAAGCAAAGAAACCTCCTCACTGGTGGCCAGCACTCAGACTGGCAGCAGCCACCTGGCAAGCAATCTAACACTAGCCCACAAAATACTGAAAACAAGGCAGTTGGTTACTGGTGGCAGTTTTACCTCTTGGGATACGCCCTAAGGAAACACACAGGCAAGACCCACAGAAGAAACCCATTGCTGTAAGGTTCTTAATTCAGAAAGAAAAATCAACAAAACACTTCAAATATCCACAAACCATGTGATGACAAAAGGAATACAGGACAGCTTAAATTAATGAAACAGACTACCTGCATCAGAATGAACTCAGGAAAACACAATGCTGGATTCCCACCCCTCGGAACTGCAGCAGGATATGGCCACTGTGCTGCTAAAAATATCCATGAACCACTCTGTGTGCTGATATTGACACTTAACAAAGGAGTGTGAGGTAGTGAGAAAGAGTGTAAATTAAATCCTTACAGGCAAGGGTGAGCTCTTCGGAGGATACGATATAGAGACTTCATGGGTAGGCGTTGCTTTGTTCTGTAGCTCAGGCTAGCCAGACTGGCCTGAAGCCTGTGGCAACCCTCCTGCCTTGATCTAAGTGCTGGGATTATGGGTGTTTACCACCACACCTGACTTTATTTATTTATTTATTTATTTATTTTCCCTTTTTTTTTCGTGTAGGTGTGTGCACAGGTGTGTGGAGGGAGGTCTGAGGTTGGGAATCTTTCACCATTGTTACTTTTTCATCGAGGCAAGGGCTCTCAATCAAACCCAGAGCTCACTGATATGGCTAGCCTGGCTAGCAAGCTTTCTCAGGCAAGCCTGCCTCTGCCTTCCAAGGCTGGAATTACAGGTGGGTCACCATGCACACCTAGCATTTATGTGGCTTTCTTAGGATCTGAACTCTGGTCTTCACATTTATGTGGCAAGTGTTTTAACTGTGGAGCCATCGCCCCAGCTCACAATGGCTAAGTGCGGAGCCATCTCTCTAGACCCACATCTCCAACTCTTGATGATCGATATCCTCAGATTTCTGCCCTCATAATTCTTCTGACCCTCAACTCAGTTCCCTCACTCACTCTGGAGAGATTAATGAAGGTGCTTCTCGGCCAGGGAAACCCAAGAAAGAACTTTGCCCTGCTGTCAGCAAGCTCCAAGACATAGAATCTCTAGCCACAGAGACCTTTCTGAAATCATGCTGAATTATTGATTATTATCTGCTTGATGGATGTGACTTCTTGGAATTTCCCACCATCACACCATCCACTGTTACTGTGTGTGTGTGTGTGTGTGTGTGTGTGTGTGTGTGTGTGTGATTTTTTTTAAAGCGCACATGCAGAGTTACACGGTGGAGAGTAGACTGAACACACAATGCTGTAACCTGTTTTCAACCTCCTATTTTCCAGGAAGTCCTAGAAAGTAGGATACCCACACCCCACCCATCCCACCTCTGATTACCTTGGCTTGGAAGTCCTGTACTAAAGAGATGAGCACAAGACAGTCCCCTCCTTCCCAGTCTTCAGCTTCACTTACCTGAAGCCAACAAGGATGGCTGAGGCGATGACCAAGGCAGAGAAGGAAAGTGCGTACCCCACAGTGTAGATAATGTACAGTGACAGGAGCTGTTCCTCAGGAGAGTTCTGTGTACACAGAGGGACACAAGGATGTGTGCATGCCCAGAGGACCTCCTTCTCTCTTAACCTTCATTCCAGGGTCCAGGCACTGAAGTGACCTGGCCCCACTTGGGATTCCAGAATCAAGAAAGAGAATGACCTATGGAAGTGGTTCAGGGATGTTTACAACCTGGCTCCAAGGTGAGCACACACCACCTTTGGCCAGACGGCAGATGTGCCGAGTCACCTGAAGCAGGGAGACAGATGTGACAACAGCCACCCCCTTCTCCTACGAAGCAGAAACCAGCTGCCTGCCCCTTCCCAGGCTCGGAACCCGTCATCTCACCCTCTCCCCTCGCTTGGACTCTTCACACTCCGACAGGTCCCTCCAGGGCAGGCTGGAGTTGTCCTTGTGCAGCCACAGGCCCTCAGCTGTACAGAAGCGGTACACATGGCCCTGGAGCACTAGAGGAGGGAGACACGCAGCTGAGGCTCAGCCTAGAAACCAGCAGCCCACCCAATGGTGCCCTCATCTTTCCCTCTCCTGGGGGACCCTGCTCCATCACAGCTGACTCTTCTGAGTTAGTAACAGGCACCCCCTGTATACACACACACACACACACACACACACACACACACACACACACACCACACACCACATACATACACACCACACACACAAACATATATATACACACACAACACAACACACACATACACACATACAAAACACACCATACACATGTACCACACACAAACACGCATACATGCAAGCACCCCACATGCACCACACACAACACACACACACACACACACACACACACACACACACCACGATGGTCCAGGTACATGACAAGAGATCACCACAGCAAGGATCACCCAGCCACCCTCAGGTCTCCCCCTTGACCACCCAGGGACACAGTTGAGTGAATCCATAGCTTTTAGACAAGAGAAACCTAGTTTGGATCTATGACAAACCACACTACTGACAAGGTCTGGTGCTGAGCAGAAGGGACCCTGCAATCACAGTCACTCTGTATGATTTATGAGCCCTTCACCCTCCTGCATTCTCTGGGGATAGGCATCCCTAAGAGCAAAGCTGGTACTGAACTTCTGAGAACAGAACTAAAGCAACCTCTGCCTCAGGGAGCCCCAGTCTGAGGAGATTCAGACTTCCTCTCAAAAGCCTCTAAAAGGGACAGAAAGTGTCATGGTGCCATCACAGATGTTGCTCTTGGAAATTTTCCCTCCAAACATGGAGACAAGGCTTGCTCCTTCAAGTAACCCCTCCTGGAGACCTGCCCCTCTGAGAGCAGACAACTTGAGCCCTGCCTGCAAGCAGTGAAAGGGAAAATCACCAGGGACGCAACAGTCTCAGCAGAGCTGGGAGTGGGTTGTCACCTGTGGTCATCACATCCACTTGACTATCGGTTGCTGGGGCAGTCCCTATTGTGCCCTGCTGTGGCCCTACTGTGGACCTGTGGGGGGTGCGGAGGTGACCAGAGGAGGGGATTTTGGCCCAAGTCTCCACCTAAGACCAGTGCTCTATTTATCTAGGAATGCCTAGCTCATTGCCTCCCTACAGGAGAACCCAACTCTTTCAATAGGACCAAGGAACAGGGTGAGGACAAAGAGGTTGAAGGAGGGATGAGCACAGGGGAGTGAGGAGGAGGGATGAGCACAGGGGAGTGAGGAGGAGGGATGAGCACAGGGGAGTGAGTGAGGGGTGGGATGAGCACATGGGAGTGAGGAGGAGGGATGAGCACAGGGGAGTGAGTGAGGGGTGGGATGAGCACAGGGGAGTGAGGAGGAGGGATGAACTCTCAAGAGTGAGTGAGGAGGACAGCCAACGTCTGGCTGACTTAAATTCTGTAAGATTAAACAACTTGAATCAGAGAGACGGATCAGCTGATAGACACGCATGCTACCAAGCCTGATGCCCTGAGTTCAGTCCCTGGGTCTAACATGATAGGAGGAAAGAACCAGTTCCTGCAAGCTGTCCTCTGACAGCTGCAGCAATGTCTTCCCTAAGTGAGCAAATAAACGTAATAAAATAGTTTAAAGACCGAAAGACCTAAAGGACTGGCTATGGGCGGCAGGCAGTGTGGAAAGGAGAGGTGGGGGAGAGGAAGGGGATAGGGCTTTGCAGAAGTCACCAGCAGCCCTTGGTCAGTATTGAGGTGGATAGATTGTCAATAGGTTTAATATATGTACACAGTAGAGTACCCTGTGGGAGGCATACCCAAGGGACGCCCACCCCAGGGATAGCCTTTCAGTACAGAAACCCAATCTCTCAACTTCTGAGACCATTGTTCTGTGCCAGAGAGACTTACTGTTGGTTATGAGACAGCCTTTTCCAGTGCAGCCATGCACCTGTCAATCAGGTCTTATTCTCAGCACCAGCCCTGCCACTCAGCACCCAGTGTGGAGAGTCCTCACATCCTTCTCCTTCTTTCTCTCTTCCCTTCATGAATACCAATACCATCCAAGTAAACCAGCTTTGCAGTGTTACTATTATTAGAGGAGCCTCCTAAAGAACACGTATGTGCACATGCAAGAGTGTGCAGGGGTGTGTGTGTGTGTGTGTGTGTGTGTGTGTGTGTGTGTGTGTGCATGGAGACTAGAAGCTGATGGTGGATGCCAGGTGTCTCCTGCACAACCAACTTACTTTTTGGATAGGATCTTTCCCTGATTCAGTTAGACAAGCTGACCAGCCAGCCCCTCCCCTGTGCAGGCACCCCACACCACACCCAGTTTTTTACATGGCACTGGGGAGCTAAACTCGAGCCCTAACTTTACCAACTAAACTGCCTCCTTAGCCTGAAACCTGCATTTCCAGGGACGTCAACAAAACCCCAAGAATCTGACGAACGCTTGTCCAGTGGTGCATAGTGGACTGAGCCCCAGAAGCTCTCTAAGGGGCTTACAAACGACAGAGTACACATAAAGACAGGGGAGGACATTTTAGCATCTTGAAGGGCCACCCTCAGGTGCCCAAATGCTTCTCCTATCTGCTTCATGGACGCTTATAATTCTTTAAGGGGAGTCCAGTCTTCTGGTAGAGAACAAGACCTGTCTTTGGCTATAGATACACCCTAAGAATGCTGAGTCTGCTCTGCAGTCTGAAGGCAGGAAGTGGGGTGTAGAGTGGGGAGAAGGGACCTTGGGTGGTAGGAGAATGGAGGAAACACATCATCACTAGATTCTTCCCACAACTGACACAAACCCCAGCATACAGTAGGCACTGTACCCTACATGCACTGTGCATACAGCAGGCACTGAACAATGCATACACTGTACACACAGTAGGCACTGAACCCTACAAACATGGTACACATAGTAGGTACTGTACCCTACACACAGCAGGCTTGAACTCTATATGCACACAGGAGGCACTGTACCCTACATGTACTGTGCACATAAGAGGCACTGTATCCTACATATACTGTGCACACACTAGGCACTGAACATACATGCACTGTGCACACAGTAGGCACTGTACTATTGTAGGCTTCCTCCCTGCATACACTGTATGTTGCCTCTGAAAGCTATTTACTCACAGAATCAAGTTTTGAATACCTACTGTATGCCCACACCTTACCAAGTCAACTGTTTTACAGATGAAAACACTGAGTCTCTGAGAAGCCAAGAGGTCTGCTCAAGACCAGGAAGATAGGAAGAGGCACAGGCAGGATTCTAACTCACAGCTCTCTGCCTCCAGGAGCCAAAACTTAGGAGCCATAGTTGTGCCAAGAGTCAATCATGGCCAGATGCCATTTTCCTCTGTCCTTCCCCTGGGTTTGGATTTCCACACATGCCATTGTGGCTTCCAGACAACCTGCATAGCTCTGGGCTCTCTGCTCAAGGCCAGCTTAGTGGTGGGAAGGTAGTGTGAGCATGGATGTGTGCCTTCTTGGCTTAGAGTCAAGAGATCACTGTGTCCCAGAGAAGCGCAGCCTGCAAGTTCATCTGTCAATTGGCCCTCATTAACATCAAACATTAAAAGCCACAGCTGGATAGTGGCTGAGCCCATGGTCCCCCAATGCCCTTCTTGGCTGGAGGTTGGTGGTCTGGGCAAAGCCCTGCTTATCAGCGCAGCTTTATCTGGCCTGTGAGGAGCTGGCTAATCACAGCCATGGGCTTGGCTTGGTCTAGTCAATACGAGGAGACAACTAGGCGGCCACATGCCAGGAGGCCCAGGCATATTTCATTAAGTCAGCCCCTGGTGCTGGAAATAAAACCCCCAATTAAACACTTCGCCTCCCGGAAGCTGCCACGGCATCTGTAATCAAGCTAACAGCCACCCTTCCACGTGGACGGCGGGCACTCAAAGCTGTGGAGAGCCGCTCACAGATCTATTAACTCCTGCACCCTGGCAACAGAGGTGGCTGGCAAGATCTGGGGGCCCCCATTTCACAGATGGAGATGCTGATGGTCAGTGAGGTTGGCACCCCTCCAAAATGTGACAGGATGGGTCAGAGTCAAAGGCAGTGGTCAGCTCTAGGTGGGGGAAAGAGAAGCTTGGAGCATCGGGGCTTAGGAAGAGGCCAGGATCGGAAGTCCAGACGCAAGTGCAAATCCTGGTTCCAATCTTAATCAGCTGCAGCACTTCGGGAGTGTTACATCAGCTTCCTGGCTCTCAGTGACCTCATCTGTAAAATGGGAGCCCTTCCTAGGAGAACATGCAGGAACTGCTTGGTGCATGGTAGGCCTTCGACACACAGTCACAGTGGAGGCCTTGATACCTCCTAAGGCTTTGGGCCTCCGCCTCCCCTTGGTAACCCTGGCTTGCTCTAAAAGCTCCCAGGCTCAGCATTACTCAGGGGAGGTGACCTGTCAAGAGTCTCTAAGACTTGTGAGTGATAGGCTGTTTTAAAAGCATTTTATGGCCCTCATATAATTAGAACTAAGCTAACAAACAGGTAGGAACCTGGAGAGGGGTGGCTAATGAGGCTGGGATGATGTGTAAGGCGTGGATCCCTCTGGAGAGTGAATGTGGCTGCCATAAGGTCCCAAGACAGCCAACTGGCTGGAAGGCCTTGGAGACCTTCGAAGACTCGCCCTTCTTGGCTTGTCCTGTGTGGACAACACTCTCCCTCCAGTCAGTGTCCTCTTCTACTCTCTATCTCTGCCCTTTCTACCCCCTCTGGGGCCCCAGTCCATAATGACAAGGATCAGACTGCATGGCCTGCACTGGTTTTCTTGGGACACTGTGCACCTCTGAGGCCTGGGGTCTTAGCCTCGTGACCAAGGTGGCCCCCTGAGCATCTGCCCTCCTCCCTTCTGCCTCTACCTGTTTTCTCAGTCTGGGCTCAAGGTCACCTGTCCTGAATGTCACACCCCAGGAGAAAGACATCTCAGACTTTCCCCAGCTGCCTCTGCTTGGACCATAAGGCTGACCCCTTCGGATCCATGCAACTCCTCTGCTTGTGTCACACAAGTGTACCCAGGCTCCTGGGAAGGACTTAGCTCAACTATGGCCATTGGTTTGAGTTTAGTTCTTTCTGAGGCTGCCCACTCCCCCACCTTGTTCTGAAGCCCAGAAGTTGACCCCTTTGATGTTGCACCACACAGTACTTGCCCTCCATTCCTGGGTTTGCTCAACAGGAGGCACCAGCAGAAGATGCCAGGATGAGAGGGAAGAACCTGGGTATCACTCTCTCACCCCATGCCCTGCTGGCATCTGGGGCTCTAGCCATAGCTTTGCCCTCTGCTGGAACAGTGCTCGTGGTCTCCTTACCCCAACTCCAGCCATCATGGGGACCCCTGGCCCCAAGCCTAGTCCTTTCTACTCAGGCCTTTGGGGGAGCGGAGCTCTGCCTACTGTATTCCCTCCATATTCCCCATTGGGTAAGTTTTCTAGAGAACCCATCCAAGACAAGACCTGCCTATGGTCTCCCTGTCCCCAGCTCCCGATGTGAGGCTGCTCCCCAGGACAGGCTAAGAATGCTCAGAGGTGCCCCCTCCTCATCTCCCACAGCCCTGGGTGGGGTTAGGAAGCCCCTCTAGTATGGTGACTGCACTCTGTGGGTCCAGTGGGTGTCTGTGTGGGTCCCCGGCTCAGGAGAGGGGAGGCAGAGCTGGTGATCAGGGTGTCCAAAAGAAAGGAGGGGAGTAAATTAGCCTGGGGAGAAAGGAGGGAAGGTGGCTGGCAGGGGGCCTGTGCAGAGGCCGTTATCTTCATGGAGAAAGCAATAAAACCGTGTTCGCTCATAAACGGGCACCACCAGGACCTATTTCCTGCTCAAATAAAATTAAAGGTGATGGATGGAGCCACAGTCGCAGGCAGAGCTGGGGGCGCTTAGTGCTGAGTGATAGGCTCTGTCCCGCGCCTGGCTCCCTGGGGTCTAGGGGCTCAGCCAGGATGCCCAAGCAGTGGTCCCAAATCTTCCAGGCAGGGAATTGTGTGTGCCATGCAGGAAGTTGCCAAGGCACAGAGGGCGGGTGGGAAAAAAAATGAATGAAGACTTGGTTTTCCCCCAAGGATCTCCAGTCCTCTCCCAGCCACATCACTTGGCTCCATCCCAGCTCCAGTGTTGAGCAAACAAACCAGAGACAGAGAGGTCTAGGAACTGCTCCTGACCACACAGTCTCACCTCAACAAGCATAGCCAAGGCTTGCGTGGCTCAGACAGAAAGGGCAGACTCTCATTGCCCTTACTAATGTGTATCCAGCCAATGAAGGTCATTCAGACCATTCACCTGTCTCTCGACCTGGAAGCCCCGGGAAGCCCTGGTTCAACAATTAAACAATGAGAAGCAGAGAGTAACCCACCCTCCTGAACTGATGCCCAGGTCTTCCCAGCCAAGCTAGCTGTGAGTCTTGGAAAAGCCATGTCATATCTCCGTGCTCCAGATTCCTCATCCACGGGAGGGAAATGAAAGTAATTGCCTCTGGGAGTTATGGGCAGGATTGAATGAGTGTCTTGCCTGTCAACAGGCAACATACGCTGAGGAATTCTGAGTGAAGGGTCAATGATCCGCTTGGAATCTGCCTTTGTCAGGCCCTGGTTTGTCTTGAGTAGCACAAGGAAAGATGTGTAGAGCCTCTCTAGAAGGCCTGCCTGAGCCCCATCAGATCATACTTCACGCTGAAGAGATGTTCATGTCTGGCCCATCAGGCCACCTCCTCCAAGAAGACGCTGAAATTTTCCCCAGCCTGACCTCGTTCCTATGCTTATTTGAAGGCTGAGATAATGGCCAAGAAAAGTACTAAGTCCTCAGTATCCCACCAGTCACCACCTCATTTAGAACAAGAGACTCAAATCTCTCAGGGTCCCAGTTTCCTCATCCAGGCAAGCACACCCCCAGGCAGCAGCTACAATAGGATTGGACACAGACATTTATAACTACTGGCAATCATTACTTTATGAGATATCTTTGCTGCGCTGGGTTCAGTTCTGTGCTTGCCATGCAACATGAGGACCTCAGTTTAGTGCCATAGCATCCATGTAAGAAGTAGGGCATGACAGCCTGTGCCTGTGATCTCAGTGCCGGGGACTCTGAGACTGGCAGATCCCCAGGGTCACTAACAAAGTAGACAGTCTGCGAGGACAACCCACAGTTGACCTCCAGCCTCTACATGAAGGAGCATACTGTGGACTCACGCCTGTGCACGCACAGACACACAGACACACACACACACACACACACACACACACACACACACAGTGTCTTTCTCCCCCCTCCTTGGACATTGGAACTCCTTGCAGCAAGAATGCATGTCCTCATTATCTTCCACAGAGCCTCAGCATGGGAACTGGGATGGAGCAATAGGCATGGTCCCCCTGCAGGTATGGACACCCTGCAGTCATGGGCATCCTGGCCCTCAGGATGGCTCTGTGGGAAGTGAATCTCCCACCAAGTCATACTTTTCCCAGTATAGTCTCCCCTGCAGGTCAGCGGCGGGCTGGACAAGGTCTGAGGGGCCAGCCCACCATGCCCTTCAGTACTGCCACCTGTGAGCCTTTAAAAGTCAGGAAGGGCTGAGGTGTCATCTCTAGGACACACACACACACACACACACACACACACACACACACACACAGAGCAATGGCATTCCCTGGGTATCTCCTTCCTGTCCCCCATGATCTGTTCCTCCCTCTGAGAGGTCAGCAGGGTCTCATTTCTGTCTTAATTTGTACCCCACCCCTGCATGCAAAAGCATCAGACTTAGGACACCCAGGCAGTTTCAACACCTGCCACTGCTGACCATCCAACCTCTATCAAAGGGTGGTCCACCCTCCAAGGGCCTGAGGAAATTCTGGGCTGCAGGAACTGGGTCCCACAGGAAAGGACCATGTCCTATCTTGCCCAAGGGTCCTGGGAACATGGAAGAGTACACTCACCACTGCTGGCCCAGGGCAGGTACCAGGGGCAGCTGACATTCACGAAGGAACCTGGGGGCCCATCTGGCCAACAGGCATAGTCATCAAAGGTTCGGTTGCAGAAGAGACCTGTAGAGGCAGTAGAGCAGTCCTTGAATCCCAGGCTGTCATTTCTTCTTCCTTCCTATGTCCTCCCCAACCAGTGGAAGCTGCAGTCCCCCAAACTCTGCAGAGTAATCACTGGATGCTGAGCACTCTCCCACAGGGATCACTAAATGCTGAGCACTCTCCCACAGAGATCATTGGAAGTGAGCACCCTCCCACAGGGATCACTGGATGCTGAGTACTCTCCCACAGGGATCACTGGATGCTGAGCACTCTCCCACAGGGATCACTAGATGCTGAGCACTCTCCCATAGGGATCACTGGAAGTGATCACTGTCCCCACAGGGCAGGGACCAAGGAAGGACCCTGTTAATCATCAGGGTCAGAACTTTAAGCAAGTTCTTTAACAGCTCTGCAGCCTCCTTTATGCAATGCAGGCATTTCCTATTCCACGGAGTTTTGCTATGACATGTTCTTTAGAAGAAGGAATATAGTAAGGGCTCAACAGGCATCGCCTATAAGCCATTTGTGAGCTGTTCTTCCCAGATGAGAGGGAAATGCTGGCTTGTGAGGCTGAGTAAACCTTCTCCAGATCACTGTGATGATCAGAGAAGGACGGGGTTTGAACCCAAGCCCAGCTGGCTCCAATGCTATGACCTTTAAACTGAGCTATAAACTCCCTAAGGTTTACTCCTGTTGGCTCAGTTGGTAGAATAAGCCCCTGGGTTTGGCCCTCAACATTGCATAAGCCAGGTGTGGTGGTACATAAGCATGGAATACCAATGCTTGGGAGGTAGAGAGACGGGATCAGAAGTTCAAAAACATTCATGTCTACACAGAGAAGCAGAAGCCAGCCTGAGCTACATGAGACCTTGTCTCAAAATATAAATATCAGTTTGTATAAATGGTCCATCAGGCCTTCAATTTATACACAGTTAGGGAGGGGCTGAGGAGAACACAGAATGGAAAATGGGGCACCTGCTCTAGAGGTAAAGACAGTAAGAAAACAGTCCCCACAAAGCTGCCTGCTGGGAAACTGGTGGGAAGGGGTCAGGAAGGCACCTCCTTAAAGACAGAGTGTGGTCGCCAGGACAGAGGCCCAGGCAGACAGCACTCTAGAGAGACAAGGAACACAAACTAAGGCCCTGCCTCAAAGCCTCCCCAGAGCTCTATGGAGTACAGGCCTGAGGGCTCATGGGATTCACCTGTGGCCAGAGGCGGTGCTTCAGTGAGGAAACGTTGGCACTGGCGTCGATACTCTCGCCATTTCTGCACAGTCTCTGAGAGGGACACAGTGGCGCCCTAAGAGGAAAAGAGGAAATGGAGGTCCCCTGGCTCCAGCAGCCCCATCCAATCCCACCTCATCCTCTTGGTTTCTTAATCTCCAAGGGACCAAACTCACCAGGAACTTCTGAAAGGGAGTGAGCAAGTGACCGCCACTTTGGGGATCCAGGCAGAACCTTTATGGTCACCCAGCCCATGATGTACAGTAAGTACCCAGCAAATGTCTAAACGATTGGTGCTTAAGGAGTTGGGGTGAAGGAGAGTGCAGAGGGAAACTATGTGACTCATCCATGGTCCCATCTGCCCTTCATCTACCCTGAACAAGGAGAGACTTCCTGAGGGAGAAGACTGCATCACAGCCTGGGGCTCCTCCCCTCCTGCTGTCTGGTCATGCAGGAGAGTCAAGAGAAGACTCCATCAAAGGCACACAGCATTTCGGGAAGCAGAGATAAGGCTGGCACACAGTCACCTAGCTCAGTAGCTGACTGAGGGGATGCAGGATACCCAAAGATGCAGCACCCTGAGGATGCAGGATACAGCCACTCTGAGGGTTTATAAGAGCCAGAATTATCACCCACTCCTCCTGCCAGACTCAACTGCTGGCAGACCCTCCCATACCCCAGTGTCTCTTCTAACACAATGCAGCTCTGATATGCAGCCTGGCTTCTAAGTCTCAGGAGGCTAAGAGGTGGAAAGGACAGGGTGAAGACAGACAGGTCCAGAACAATGAAGCTATGCCTAAACTGGGAGGTGGCCACCTACCTGTGACAGAAGGATAGGAGCCTAAGTAAGTTTAGCAGCACTGGTTTTTGAGCATGTAGCACCAACAGACCCTCTCCATGGAGCACATCCCCTCTGCATATTTCTGAATGCTCCCTTTAGCCAGCCTTGAGCTGTAGTGCTTTTTAATTTTTTTCACAAACACCCTTACAGATTATAAATATTATCCATTTAGAAGTAATAGATGTCAAAATGAACAAAAAGCCCCTTGCATTAAAGTTGGGATTTATACATAATTAAATTTGCATAGGACTGTATGCATGTGGATGGGTACACACAAGAGACAGCATGTGTTGCCACAGTGTGCTTCATATATGTGGAGGTCAGAGAGCAGCCTAAGGGAGTTGGTTCTCTCCTTCTGATCATGTGGGATCCTGAGGATTGAACCCATATCATCAGACTTGCCACCCAACAGCCAATGAGCCATCTCTCCTGCCCAGAAGTTCACTTTTTGAAACCACAAGATACACACAGGAAACTGATGGGCTTCAGATGCCTGGGCCCCTGGGCCCCTGGGTCCCAGTGCGCAAGTTCGCGCGCGCGCGCGCGCGCGCGCGCACACACACACACACACACACACACACACACACACACACACACACTCACACCAGATGTGACTTCTGGGTGAGCCTGCCATGGATTGAGCAGAGTCCTAGTTCATATGACATCACCACAGAACAACACAGAGACATGTGCTTGTTCCTAGTGACATGGAAAGTTCCAGAAAAGGGGAGGGGTCAAGCTTCCTCTGAATGCCACCAACATCTCTAAGTGTGTTGGTGAGACTGCCCTGAAGGACAAGATCTTCTAGGAGCAAAGGTCATGATTATTTGCTTGGAGAATAAAAAGAAAAAGAAGGAGAAGGAAAAAGAAAAGGAAATCAAATGTGCCAACAGCAAAGGTGGTGTTGTCCCTGGAGCCACTGCTGATGGGTGGCAGATTCATCTGACTAAATCACAGTGGATTAGTGCCACCTCTCCCATTTCCTTTCCTATTTCCCTCCTCCTCTATTCTCATTGCCCTGAAGGCAGTGATGCAGGTGGGGGCAGCTGCCACAAGGGGGGAAATCCACAATAGCTGCCCTTAGTAGAAATGGCAGAAAGCAAGGTCATTACTGGGAACTAGGGCAGCAGGTGTGTCAGGGAGTGTGGAGAAGGCCCAAGAAACCAGCATCTCCAAAGGAGAGGAGGGGTCAGAGGCTGGAGGCAAGACCTTGATGGCCAGCCACCATGGGAGTTTCCAAAAAGGCTTTGGCTTGGACAATGACTAAGAGTTAAGTTTCATAAAGACATGAAACTTAACTTTAGACTGGGACTCTATTAGGATAGGGCCTTGTCCCCCACCCCCCCAGGCCATAGAGTATCCATTTTAGATGGTGGTGAGTAGAGGAGACTGGGCAAACTATCCTGAGGGTCTCTGGGCTGTTTGAGGCTGGAGCCAAATGTTTTGCAGGACATATTATACAAGAAGGTAGTGGTATAAGACATCTGGGAGGGGTCAGGGCAGGTCACAGTGTTGACCTAAGGGGTCATCTAATCTAGGGGCTGAGAGGTACAGGAGGAGAAAATGGTGGCTGGACTACCAAGGAAGATGGGCATTTCGACACAAAGGTGTAGAGGTGAGCAGGTTGGGAAGCTGGCCCAACTTATAAAGTGTGTCCTGAAAACCCATGAAAGTTTAAATTCCACACAAAGAACCCAGGTAAAAAGCTGGGTACAGTGACAAATACTTTTAATCCTAGAACTGGGAAGGTGGGGTCAGGAGGGTCCCTGAGGGTCACTGCTTAGCATGATATTCAAGCCCCAGGTCCCAGAGACAGAAGCCACCATCCTAGAAGCAAAACAAAATAAACAAAAAGGTGTATGGTTCTTGAGGAACACCACTCCGGTGTGACCTCTTTCCCACACACACATGCACATATGCATGCATGCATGCATGCATGGCCACAACTAGTGTACCTCCCCACATGAACACACATACATGTGCACACACTCATCCACGGAGATGTCCAGTGCAATTCTTAAGCAAAGAGAATAGGAAGAGAGACAGGATCTGGGATAAGCCTTGCTGAAGCTGGGGCCACTGGGTGCCACTGACCCTCCAGTCCAGGTGACAAGGCAGACAGTGTATAGCCCTAGTTTTGGGGTCAGATCTGCACTCGATTCTGCAGCTCTCCCATAAATTAGGTCTGTGATCTTGGGCACATTTTAGCTTCTAGCCTCAGCTTGCTTGTGTGCAAAGGAGTGACAAGACTCCACGAATCCAGGACCATGACAACTAAGCTACTGCTTACAATGACCCCTGGCACATGGGAGAGGCTGGCCCTGAGGAGTCTACTGTTTAGAAGAAAGGCTGAAACCCTAAGCCTGGCTTCCTGAATCTGGGGATCTTCCTTTTAAATTCAGTAAGCTCCGAGAAGGGAGAGATTAACATGGCTGTCCCAGGACAGTGATGTTGGTTAGGACCGTAGGTTGGGAGCCCCAGGAGCCAGGGCAGGCCAGTATTTCTAGGACCAGCACTTCTACAGTGCTTGGAAAAAAAGAGGATCAATGTTCAGGAGGAGGGGACAGTAAGGAAGGGACGTCCCTAGGAGAAACAGCAAGAGATGCAGGATAGAACACCAAGGAGCTCAGAGCTTGCAGACAGTGCTTGCCATCTGCTCTGTCCACAGCCTGCACCCTGGCACAAGACATCATCACAAGCTCAGCGTCTCCTTTTCTGGGAACCATTTAGGTTGAGGGGTAGGAGAAAAGAGTGTTCAGTCTCGCCTGACCACTGAGGAAGAAGGCAGTCCCCTCAGGAGGAGCAAAGGGGACTCCAAAGACAACTCCTAGAGCCCTCCCTCTACCACCCCCACCCCCAGGTTCAACTCTGTTTTCCTCTGCCATTTCCTCCTCAGGGCATCATACTTTTCTTCTGGTCCCCTCTCAGAGCCTGGATCATGCTTCCCATTGCTGAGCCCTAATTTTTGTGTCCATGTTTTGTTTTCTTAAGGTCCTTCCTGAGGTCCTGATCAGATAGATGGGCAGGACAAGGCAAGCTGCAAGCTCCTTCTCTCAGACTCAGGTACCTTCTCACAGACACACTGTCACACGACAATGACAATAACCCTCACCCTCAGGGATGTTCCTGGCATTGAGGTCCTGACATTGAGTCTCCTGTCCCCACACCATCATGCACAGACTTCCAGGCACACAGGCATATTCTGAAATAATGACCAATACACACACACATACACATACAAACGCACACACCAACACACACACACACACACATATCTGACCCGACAATCACACACATAAACACTGTCACACACAATCCCATACCTTTCCCAAAGCACAGTACAGACAGGATACCAACACACACACACACACACACACACACACACACATTGTTGGACATGTGATTATATGCTTATATGTTGCTGTGTATATGGTGACTCCCATCCAGACTGTCACACAAAGGGTCCTGAATAAATATGCTGAGAAACAGGCTCTTGTACACCTTGTACACTTACCTCCCAATCTATCTCTACCTTATATGCATCTCTGTGTAACACACACACACACACACACACACACACACACACACACACACACAAATTTGGCGAAGGACAGGAACAGGTGCAGTAAATGAAGGGCCTGTTTTTCCTCTGCACAGGCACTGGAGGACAGGATGTGGTTTCTTGACTGCTCCTGGCCAGTCCTATGCTGGGTCCCTGTCTGGAAGGAAGCCCAGCCAGGGACAAAGTCCACCCAGACCACACCATAGCCTCAGCCTCTACTGCCCTTTGCTGGAGTGCAGAGGCCAGGGGCTTCCCACAATTCTGCTTCAGGCTCTATTCTGCAGCCTGGGGACACGCCAGGTTCCAAAGGACAGTTCTCCCGGAGGCTTCAAGCTGCCATTTCAGTACCAATCAATGCCTTACTCCCCTCAGTGTCCCTCCATCCCTCCACAGTAGATCCTGTGACCCCTGTTTTACTGGTAAGAAACTGGGGTTTGGGATCATCAAGGGTCCCTGCTGAAGAGCTAAGGTAAGCTCTCAGTTCCATCTGTTCGGAACTATAAGTGTCAAAGGTCTGCCTGTCTTCTCAGTAGCCCATCTCCCCCGTGGAGGGTCTGTGAGAACAGGAAAGAGGAGTCCAAGGCCACATTTTGCAGAAGTCATTTCAGCCTCCCTCATCCTGCAAGGAAGTAACTTCTGGCTTTGCCAGATCTGCTCCTTCAGCCTTCATGCCCCCCAGGAGGAAGGTGCAAGCCAAGAGCTGGGGCCTACACTCTGCTTCCCTGGTTCCTAAGCTGCTGGACCACATCGCCTAGGGAACCCTGTTTCTAAGCACTCACCTCACCATGAGTAACATGAAGGGAGACATTCTAATCTTACTGACTTCATAGACAGAAAGTAAACCACAAAATTTAGTTTTGAGTCTCCTGTGTGCTCATGAGGTCATGCTGTAATTATTGCAATCTAACCTCAAAGCTGCCTGTCACATGGATCTCTGCAGCAGTCAAGAGATGTCAGTACCCCCATAATAAGGGCACCCCATCAAAAGCTCCAGCGTGTCTCTTTGTTGCCTGCATTTTCTACCACCCAGGTGCTGTTGTGAACCAGGGCCCAAGAGTGAGATGATGTGAGGAGGTTCAAGGAACCTAACACCTCTGGGCAAGGGGGTTCACATCTGGACAAAGAGTTGGGGAGAAGACAGGCAGGCCCCAAGCTTGGCTCTCTATTCCTTCATCCCCAACCTGATCTCCAAACTTGGCCTGCAGCAGCCTTGGAGCAGGAGGCTCACACCCCCACCTTCCGGCCTCACAAAAGGGAACTCAGCAGTGGATCTGCAATCGTGGCTCTGGAAAGATCCCAATGTCACCAGGAAAGCCATGGCCTATGAGGGTACAGTGAGGAAGGTGCCAGGGACTGGGGAAGGTGTCTCGAGATCAGCTGGCCCTGGAGAACAGGGGGAGGAAGAGGATTCATCTGGAAAAGGATTTGGGGGCTGAAACAGTGCTGGCACCTTCCTTGGGAGGTAACCTTTGTACACAACTGGATTCACAGCCTCTCCTTTTGCACACCAAGTTCAACCCTGTGCAGGCCCACTCCCCAAAGGTGTCAGTCCTTCAGGTCTAGCTGTGGACATAGGAGACTACGAGCAAAGTATTCATTCTACAGGACACAGACCAGGCCTGGACCTCTTTCATTCAGGGGTGTCCTGGCACTTTTGAACAATGACCCTCTCTACAAGTAGCTGACCATCGTGCCCAGGGCAGGGCAGTCTGGGGCAAGGCATACAGGCAGGACAGAGAGAGTCAGAGAAGAGTCCTCAAGAGTCCAGCTGCAACCTATTCTTTGGGGACACCAAGGAGGTAGGGTGTTCCTGTGTGTCCCAGTATGCTTTCTGGTGGGTTACTAATCAAAGGGGGACTGGAATGGGTGCCAGCTGAGTGTGAGAGGGGGGTCTGACTGATTCAGGAGCAGGGAACCTGCTGCTTGTTTGCTGCAGAGGCTGGGGTGGGGGTTGCAATCCAGTGGCACCTGGGAGGTCATCAGGAAGGACAACAAGCTGCCACTGGCAGGGTCCCTGGGGCTATGAGTCAAAGACTATAATGAGGGGCTAATAACGGGGAAGGAGCTAGGTTTCCATAACCAGGCCCTTTCAGTCCTCCAGAAATTCCTGGGTACCCCCTAGACAAGAGAACAGAGGACCTGAGTGTAGGGGGAGGCACCACAGGGGTCCTGGGTACACCAGGAAGACAGAGGGACAGTGGGTTTTGGAAAAGGGAGTTGGAAAAGTGAGAGTAGGACAAAGATGTGTCGCGGAAGTCAGAGCAAGGCAACCGTGGGGCAGCTGGTGTCCTGGCAGAGGAGCTTTGGCAGAGAAGTGGGCATCTTGTCATGATGAGGATAGTCACCAGGTGTCCATTCTCCACCTGGGCCTCCCAACTCCTTCGTCCCTTTCTCCCCTGAACCTTGCACTTCCCCTGTCTGGGGTCCTGGAGTTTCGCTCAAGTCCAAGGGCCCCTCCACTAGCTCCGGCGCCCGCAAACCACCGCAGCATCCCCCTCCCCTTTGTCGCCAGGGTCCCGGGGGCTCACCTGGGGGCGGGGGCCGGCCCTGCCCACCGCCCCGAGCACCAGGAGCGCCAGGCGCAGCAGGCTGGGGGCGCCGGCCATGGCGGGGCGCTCAGGACTGGGCCATAGCTGCCACCTGCGGAACCGCGCGCCACGACTGATCCCTGCCGGGCTGCGGGGGAGGAGTCCGATGTGGGGCCGCCCCGCCTGCCCGCGGGAGGGGCCGGGCGGGGTCCCCGCTGTCTTCCGCCTGGGTCTCTGGAGGCCTGGGGCCAGGCGGGCCACCAATGTCCCGGGCCAGGAAGTCTCGGACGCTGCGCTCCCTACAGGCAACACTCAGGTTTAGGAACCGCAGGAGCGGAGCCACCAGCTCTGGAGCGCCCACGGTGCGTGCGCCTGGCCAGCTCGCTGCGACCAGTGCGGCCCGCCTCCCACCCCCGCACCCCGATCTCCAGGCTCCCCCTCAACTAAAGAAAGCCACGCCCCCACCAAGTCTGTGCTGAAAGGAAACTGAGTCCCGGGAAGGTGTAGGGTTGGAACAAGGTCACAGTGTTTAGCAGACTTCTCCAGGAAAGTGTATCCCACAGGCTGCTGGTGTCTAGGGACGGAAGATCCAACCTAGTGTGACTACTTATCTCCCCAGTCCCCTCCTTATCCCAAACCCAATCTTCTGGGCAGTTCTGGGAGTTGAGGTTGTGGGGATTGGGATAGGAAATCCAAGGAGGACTCTCAGGTTCGCTTCTATCTGGAAACTTTAGAAATTTGCAGGATGGAGAGGGTTGAGGCTGGAAGGTGTCTGTCTTTCTAGAACTTGACCAATGTTCCCTGCCCAACCTCTGCAGCCTATATCCACTGTGCAGGTGTGATCATATGCATCATGACTGGCATTCGGTGTGCACTTCACTCTGCCTTCTGCTTTGTGGAGACTCTGGTCTGTCTTTTTCCCCACTTTTGCCCTGGCACACAGTACGGGGGGGGGGGGGGGTGTCAACTCATTACCTATTCTTCGAGTCAGTAAGTGGGACAGGCTAGCAAAGAGGGTACAACTAACGCTTTTGAGGAAATAAGAACTAGTGTAATGAAAGTTGGGTGTGGCTCTACCCAGCCCTGGACCTGCCTGGGGCTAATCTGGACCATTCTAGAAGGGAAGGGAGACAGTGAGCATAGCTGTACCTCTTGGAGAACACAACTTCTCAAAATCTTGAGGAACATGGGACTCCACACTCAGGACTCCATCCCATGGAGGAAGAAGGAACCTGCAGGATCCATTCAGGGGGTGGGTGAGTCTCTCTGTGTGCATTTAGGCTTAGGCTGCTTAGCTGTCAGTAAAGAAAATCCCACTCCCCAAAATTATGTAACTGGGGCTTTTACAGAAAGCAAGGCTGGGGGTTCAGCCCAGGGTGGAGTGAGTAGCCATTCTCTGACCATGAGGGTCTCCAGATCTTAGGGTCTCTGGTTCCAGGCATCTGTCCAAATGACACAAAGTGGCTTGCTCTAGACCCAATCATGACATCAAAAGTCTAGTCCGCAGCAAAGGACCAGCTGAATACCCACAGGAATGTATCCTGAACATACCAGCCATCAATTCTCCACCTACTGATCAGAATTTACTCCCATAGTCACCCTAGTTCCAAAAGAGGCTGCAGGTTGTCATGGGCACAGTTTGTAATGGGTCTTTTTCTGTCCGGCCAGCTAGATACCAAATAATGACATGGAGACCCATTATTAAATGTGGAAACTTAGCCTTAGTTTAGGCTTGTTTTTAACTAGTTCTTATAATTTAAATTAACCCATTTCTATTAATCTATGTTCTGTCATGTACTGCCTATCCTACTTCCTCAATGTCTCTGGCATCTCTCACATGCCTAGATCTCCTACTTCCCCTTTCTCTACCTAGAAGTCCCACCCATACCTCTGCCTAGCCATTGGCTGTTCAGCTTTTTATTACACCAATCAGTGTCTTAGTCAGGGTTTACTATTGCTGTGAAGAGACACCATGACCACACCAACTCTTATAAAGGAAACATTTAATTGTGATGGCTCACTCACAGTTCAGAGGTTCAGTCCATCATGGTGGGGAGCATGGCAGTGTGCAGGCAGACATGGTGCTGGATCTGAGAGCACTTACTTGACTCAGAGGCAACAGGAAGTCAACTGACACACTGGGTAGTATCCTGAGTATATGAAACCTCAAAGCCCAATCCCACAGTGAAACACTTCCTCCAACAAGGCCACATCTACTCCAACAAAGCCACACCTCCTAACAGTGCCACTTCTTATGAGATTATGGGATTATGGGGGCCATAAATTCAAACTACCACACACAACAAATACATCTTCACAGTGTACAAATGTCCCATAACAGTGATCAAGTAGTGCATCTTTTATTACTTTGTCTGCTTCCATTGCTAATAACACCATACCACAAACTGTCCTGGAACTCTCTAAGTAGATCAGGCTAGGCTCAAACTCATAGAGATCTGCCTGCCTGTGCCTCCAAAGTGCTGTGATTAAAAAAAACATGTGCTACCACTACTCAGAAAGGCTGAATACATATTGAAGAAATATTATTTGGGACTCTGATTCTAGTTTAAGGGTTAAGAACTACAGTTGATGACATCCTTCATCACAGAATTCTGGAGTGGTGAAGGGTTTCCCACACTGACAGATGGGGAGTTCTCAATACACCTCACCACATTGACTTTAAGAGTGTGAGGGCTAATCTTGGTTGTCAAACTGAAAAGAAACAATGTGTCCATGAAGGGCTTTCTTGGTCAGATTATTTGAAGTGGAAAACTCCACCCTAAATGTTGTTGGCACCTTCTGGTAGCAGCCTAGATAAAATGTCATGGGAGAAGGAAGGCTTGGCTTTTAGCCTACTTATCTTCACTCTTGCTGGCAAGTTCATCTACCCTATAGTTGCTACTGACACAGTCCTTTGATGATATTAAAATAAGTTTTCTTAGGCTTTTGACACAGAGTGAAGACCAGAAGCTCTCCAAGAATCCTCCAAGTCTTTAGGGTAAGATTAGGAGGACAGCTGAGATACCCAACCTAGTGGACTGAGAAACTACCAGATTCTCAGCCTCTCCAGTATGAGACAGCCATTGTCATGTTGCCTGGACCATATAGGCAAACTAATCTAACAAATCCCTTTTACTACCACATTAAATTTTTAGTGTGTGTGTGTGTGTGTGTGTGTGTGTCTTTGTGTCTGTGTGTGTGCATGTATGTATGTATGGACACCATGTATGTGCAGTGTCCTGTGGAGGCCAGAAGAGGCCATCAGATTACTTGGAGCTCAAGTTATAGACAGATGTGGATGCAGGGAACTAAACCTGTGTCCTCTGCAAGGGCAGCCAGTACTCTTAACCACTGAGCTATCTCTTCAGTCCCCATGTAACCTTTTAATATGCATTCATTCTATAAGTTCTGTTCCTCTAAAGAATATGAACACAGAGAGCAAACCCATTTCTGGAACAACCCACTAGTCATCATCCCTAACTGTGTGTCAGTAATTTCCTTCATGGTTGTGACCAAGTTCCTAACAAGAAGCAACTAAAGAAAAGAAGGATTTACTTGACTTATATATTAGAGGATACAATCCATTTCTGGGCGATGGGGTTGGGGAGATGACTACAGGAGCAGCGGGTAGTTGGTCACATTGTATCCCTGTCAGGAGAGATTGTGGTGGTTTGAATACAAATGCAGATGCACAGAAAGTGGCTGGTCTAGATTTGAACCCGTGACTATTAGCCTCTAAGGTCTGTATATATGTTGGTTGGTCTGGATTTGAACCCATGACTTGAACCTCTAAGATCTGTAAGTATGTTGGTTAGTCTGGATTTTATGTTTGCTTGACTTCTCATCTCAGTGTGCACCATCCTGGGACTTAGGGATATCACCCTCTCCCTGGGCCATGGGAAGCTGGGGTCCAAATGCAGGATTTTAGCATGGCATACTCTAACCTGGTTCCTTCCTCAGGATGATGGGTGAGACCAGGTCCCCTACCCTTTTGCAGCTGTGGCTGTTTCCTGTTACAGTACATGGGACATTTGGGAGAACTCATCTCCCTAGCTCCAAAGGTAAGTAAACTTCTGAATAGGTCAAAGGTCAAATCCCTTGTCCATAACAATCTGCTTGTCATGATTAATCTTGTTAGTGTTACTAGAAATAATTTCACATGTCTGTGAGGATGTCTCCAGAGAGGTTGTGTTGTAAAGATTTTTATATTTGTGTGTGTGTGTGTGTGTGTGTGTGTGTGTGTGTGTGTGTGTGTGTGTTTAACCACATGCAGGGGCAGGAGTTACAGGTTGGTGTGAGCTGTCACCTGAGTTGGGAATAGAACTCCTGTCCTCTGGTAAAATAGCAAGTGCTCTTAACCACTGAGCCCTCTCCCTGGCCCCTCCCAAAGGATCAAAAGAGAAATAGGAGACTCTGTGAATTTGAGGGTCACTGCTCCATGAGCAAAGGCCCCAGCTTACACAGAGAAGGCAAAGTGAGTTGCGCACAGCATTCATCTCTCCCTGATTCCCAGCTGAGGGCATTTACATTCCTGCAGCCACAGCTAGAGTGTTCTTTCCACACAGATGAACTGAAGTCTCACACTGGGAGCCAAAATCAGCCCTTCCAGCCTTACAGCTGCTTTTTGTCAGTGATTTTGTCACATCCATGAGAAAAACACCAGGCATGTGTTGTCCTTCCCCCCTCAGCCAGGGTCCTGGAAGATTAACCCTCTCAAGTCCTTACCTGATTCATTCCTAAGGACACTCATAGATGTTCTCTTGGTTTTCCACAGCCTGGGAGCAAGTCCTACAAACTCATTAGATCCAATGAGGCAGCTGGAACCTGTATCTGCCTCCCTCTCCCCTGTAACCTCCTATGCCTCCTCAGGCCACTCTCCTGCAAACACACCCCCATCTGCAGTTCCCTTGTTCTTATATCTCCTACCCAGGCCCCTGATCATGCCTCAAGACCTAGCTCAGATAGCCCCCATCCCAGAAGTCCATTCTTCACCTCTGTCCCTCAGTGTCTGTTAGGTCACTGTCAATGCTTACTCCAAATGGCAGCTGCCATTTCTGGAAGGCTGCCCTAAATACATCTCTTCTAGGATCCTCATTTCCCAGAGCTCTTGGTCCCTTATGTTACTATCACCGTCAGGGCACTGTGGAGTTATAGTGACAGAAGTGTTATGTTACATCCCCTGTGCTGATTAGTTTGTTCTCCT